TTGTGCCCACCCTGTTACAGGGGCTTCTGTTGGAGACAACAAGTCGGCTTTTTAACACACGTTATGCAGGGCATATCATCATCGGGAAATCCACCCTAAGAAATGGCATGCAGACATTGCTGGAATGCATGTAGACAGAAAGTGGCTGCAGGATACCAGCAGCAATGTGATATAAAAATAAATGGTAAAAATGGTATTTTATTTGAAAATAGGCGATTTTTTATTGACAAACAGTGCTTTAACAAACTAAATGTCATTCATGAGGGTCTATATCCACTTTCAGGCATCTGTGCTCCACCTGTATTGATCGTGGCATGGAGTGCACCATGGTATAGGAGACACTCAGATGGAGCACAATGAGCGGGTGGTGTGACAGCAGACAGTAAATGGACAGCATGTAAATACATTCGGCTTCTGCAGAGCTCTAATCAATACCAGTGAGAGCCTTGCTGCTTAAACAGCGCTTCCACCAGTGAAGAGTCCCTGTGGATCCGTCACCCTGTCACTCTAAATGTACATTACACAGTATGTGCTCGGGGGGGAATGCACACTGCACTTTTATTACTCCAACACTTGACAGCCATCATCATGTATATTTATCATGCTGGAAGACGTACATAACACGCTCATTATAGTACTGAACCTACAAATAAATTGTAAGGGTGATTGAAGATTTAATTGACATTTAGTCTTCATTTAGAATTGCGTTTGGGGGCAGCAAAAATGCATGGTTGAGCATTTTGCAACCCATCAACCGCCCCTTTTAAATTTGCAATAGGCAGTGAACAGGGATGTTTACATCTGAACGCGACTCGGGCTTCAGAAGTAAGGGAGATTTAAACATGTCTAAATGTGTCCATTAAGTTGTCATCTTTTAGTGCTCATGTGCGGTAGTCCTTGGCGCTCCTCTGAAAAGCGATCTTGGTGGATAGATCACTTTTCACAGGACGTGTGACAGGTGGTGAGGAGGCAATATGTTGTGGCACAACTCCACACACTTAAACAAGCCACATTCTACAGTGCTACTGAATATGGCATGCAGTTTAATTTTTCCTATAGCTGCTTGCAGTTCTTTGGGTGGGCAGTCAGGGGGTGTCAGTAAAACTGTGGCTCAACTTCCTGTCCCTTGGCTGCCCCTGTGGGCAACCTCTACCAGAATAAAAACTACCATGTACATTATCCAATGTCCTTTTTCCAAGTGTGTTTGCACTAAAGGCCAGCCAACAGAACAACAGTTCTTTCAAGGCCAAGACTCCTAACTCCTAATGAACTTATCAAAATTCACTTAGTGGGTGGCCCTGTTCCTTCCCTCCCTTCCAATAAACTTCAAGCAAAAAAAAAAAACAAAGGAGCCAGGCAGAAAATTGTTGGCCAAACAGCGGCTGCATCCAATCAGATGCAGGCACTGCTTGGATTTTCTGACAGCTGTGGTGCTGAACAAGTGAAATCATGACATGTACAGTTGTGTTCAAAATAATGGAAGGATTTTGAGCTTTATTCACTTTTTTCAACACATTGCTAATATCTTTTATTTCCATACACACAAATGCATTGGGAACACTACACATTCTATTCCAAATCAAAACATGAAGAAAAATAGATCACATTTGTGTTGTTCCTCTAAAAAAATTGAAGAAAAGTGAACATTTGTTCAAAAAAATAGCAGTCTTTGTATTCTTCTTTACAAACTCAAACATTCCCTATATAAACTGAAAAATGTTTGAAGATTTTGCTTTCCTTTGAATCCCTTAATGAATATTTAGTTGTAGTCGCACTGTTTCTGAGAACTGCTGTACATCTGTGTTGCATGGAGTCAACCAACTTCTGGCACCTGTGATCAGGTATTCCAGCCCAGGATGATTGGACTACATTCCACAGTTCTTCTCTATTTCTTGGTTTTGCCTCAGAAACTGCATTTTTGATGTCACCCCACAAGTTTTCTATTGGATTAAGATCCGGGGATTGGGCTGGCCACTCCATAACGTCAATCTTGTTGGTCTGGAACCAAGATGTTGCACGTTTACTGGTGTGTTTGGGGTCGTTGTCTTGTTGGAACACCCATTTCAAGGGCATTTCCTCTTCAGCATAAGGCAGCATGACCTCTTCAAGTATTCTGATGTATTCAAACTGATCCATGATCCCTGGTATGCGATAAATAGGCCCAACACCGTAGTATGAGAAACATCCCCATATCATGATGCTTGCACCACCATGCTTCACTGTCTTCACAGTGTACTGTGGCTTGAATTCAGTGTTTGGGGGTCGTCTGACAAACTGTCTCCGGCCACTAGACCCAAAAAGAACAATCTTACTTTCATCAGTCCACAAAATGTTGCTCCATTTCTCTTTAGGTCAGTCAATGTGCTCTTTGGCTAATTGTAACCTCTTCAGCACATGTCTTTTTTTCAACAGTGGGACTTTTCGGGGGCTTCTTGCAGATAGCTTGGCTTCACATAGGCGTCTTCTAATTGTAACAGTCCTCACAGGGAACGTCACACCTTCTTTGATCTTCCTGGAGCTGATTGTTGGCTGAGTCCGCGCCATTTTGGCTATTCTTCTATCCATTCGAATGGTAGTTTTTCGCTTTCTTCCACGTCTTTCAGGTTTTGGTTGCCATTTTAAAGCATTTGTGATAATTTTAGCTGAGCAGCCTATCATTTTCTGCACTTCTTTATATGTTTTCCCCTCTCCAATCAACTTTTTAATCAAGGTACGCTGTTCTTCTGAACAATGTCTGGAACGACCCATTTTCCTCAGAATTCCAGAGAGAAATGCACTGTAACCAGCATGTACAACATTTGCTGCCTTCCTTCCTTAAATAAGGGCAATAATTGCTACCTGTTTTTCAAAGAATGAATGACCTCACTAATAGAACTCCACACTGCTATTATTTTGAACATGCCACTTTCAATTAGTGATTCAATTACACAGAATCAGCAGCATGCATGTCATGACTATTGGGTCTGTTGGATTTCTATTACTCTAATACACCTGCTAGTAAATTATTTGCCATGTAGAAATATCATTTCTACCAAAAACAATGATTGATCAGGTTTGTGATGTCTGACTGCTATGATTTTGAACACAAGTGTATGGCCAGCTTTCCATGCAGAATGTGAAGTCTGAACTACTGATCCGCATTCTTGTTCAGATCAAAAAACAAAGGAGCCGGGCCTATCCTGCCTTCAGCCAATAGCCAAATCTTCTTCCATCAGTTCATCCCCCACAGTTATAACCTTTTGTTCCACCAGCCCCACCATATTAGACTGTAAGCTCCAAGGAGCAGGGTAACCCTCTTGTATTGAATTGTGTTGTCGCTGTATTTTCTCTCTTTATCTTGTAAAGGGCTGAGCAAACTGTTGGTGCTATATAAATTATATATAATAATAATTATTTTATTTATTTCAGGTACTTATATAGCGCTGTGAATTTATGCAGCGCTTTACATATATATTGTACATTCACATCAGTCCCTAACCCTCAAGGGGTGTACAATCTAAGGTCCCTAACTTACATTCATACATACACATACTAGGGACAATTTCTAATAAGATCAATGGCTTTAACTGCCTCCCGCCCACCATATAGTAATATGACGGACGCAAGGTGGTTGTCTCGTTCTGGGAGGACGTCAGTGCCGCCTATCAGTGCCGCCTATCAGTGCGCATCACTGCCACCTAACAGTGCCAGTCAGTGCCGCCTATCAGTGCCATATATCAGTGCTGCCTTTCAGTGCCCACCAGTGATGCCTGTCAATGCCCATCAGTGCCACCTATCAGTGTCAATCAGTGCAGCTTATCAGTGCCTATCACTGCAGCCTCATTAGCGCACATCAGTGAAGGAGAGAAAAATCACTTATTTACAAAATTTTATAACAAAAACTAAGAAAAAAGTTTTTTTTTTCAAAATTTTCAGTGGTTTTTGGTTTGTTTAAGAAAAAAAAAACCCAGAGTATCACCAAAATAAAGCTCTATCTGTCTCAAAAAAATGATAAAAATGTCATATGGGTACAGACTGTTGCATGACCGCGCAATTGTCACTCAAAGTGCAACAGCGCTGAAAGCTGGAAATTGGCCTGGGCAGGAAGGGGGTATAAGTGCCCTGTAGGCTTGTGGTTACAATCATTAAAGCCAACGAGACATGGTGATAATACTCACTCTCTGTATGATATCTAATGGAACAGCATTGTCACCTCAGCCTGCTCTCGTGATTTGGACTACAAACACCTCCTACAATCTCTACATCTCATCTCTACAATATAAAAGGGGAGGGTTGCCGTAGTCATCAGAGATATCCAGAAAAAAATCTAACTGATAAAGAATGCAACACAATTATAGTAGGTCAAAGAGCACCAAATGAAAAATCCTTAGGAGTCCAACACGTCCTTATTGTTCAACTGGTTGCAACAAGCAAGGAAAAGGGCAGCCAATGCATTTTAGGGAGGCCACACAATCCCCCTTTATCAGAACTGGAGCAAAAAAATGTAAAACACATAAAATAGTGATAAAGCAGAATTGCTACTGTTCTTCATCACCATTTATATGTGTCTTATTTAGAATTTTTCTCTGGTTCTGATAAAGGGAGATTGTGTGCCCCCTCCGAAACGCATTGGCTGCCCTTTTCCCTGCTTGTCATAACCAGCTGAACAATAAAGACTGTGAACTCCCAAGGAGTTTTCATTTGGCGCTCTATTTGACCTATTAGTAGTAATATTATTATCATTATTATATAGGGTTTATATACACTTGGATTTCTCCACTCAGGTGAAAGTCCTCTCCGGGGGGGACGGGGGGGGGGGGGGGGGACTCCTCTGTCTTTGTGGTGAGCTGCCAAAATACAGGCCAATTGGGCTCATGTAATTACTTTGTCCACATTTAGATAACCTGGAAAAATCAGCCTCTAGCACCCTCCACCACTACCTCTGTAGCCCAGGAAAAGAACATGGGAGGATAGTATCTGCCAAAATGTCTGGCAAGATTAATATTTATTATTATATTTGGCCAAAAAATGCAAAAAAAAAAAAAAAACAACAAAAACCCATCCAATAGTGAATTTAACAGACCAAACTGGATCATGCAAGAAGTTGATTGTTAGGGTTTACATACCTTTTAAGCACCATAATACCTTATGCATGTAGAAATTCAGAAAAAGAGACCAGCTGTGCAATGCTGGAATAGGAAAGGGGGAAAGTATTTGTAGTAATGCAGGCCATAGATGGGTCGAAAATCGGCCGCTTTTTTGGCCAGAAAAAAAATCAACCGATTTTCGCACCATTAATGGGTTAATTGGTCGGCCTTTTTTCTGTATTTTGGCACATTTTTTCTTATCGGTAAAGTTGGAAATAAATCAGCCGATTTTGCCGATCGGCCAATTTTCGCGGCAATGATGGGCAAATCGGCCGATCTTTTTACCGATAAAAAATCTGCGCATGAGCCGTGACCTGCAAGAAAAAGAAGGAGAAAAAGAAAAAGAAAAAGAAGAAAAAAGAAGAAGAAGAAAGAAGAAGAAGAAGAAAAAGAAGAATTCCAGTCCGCTATTATATTTGACATGAAAAAGTATTGCGGTTGCAACAATGAATCTATTTGTATCCAAATAAAGACATCTGTATCCAAAATGGATACAAATAGATACATTGTTGCAATCGCTATACTTTTTAATGTCAAATATAATAGCGGAGCTCTCTGCAGGGACAGAAGTAATTAAATGCTGATTGTAGACGGGACGAAGATCGGACGATTTTTTTTACCGTTGGTGGTAACGTCAGCCTATTGAACGACCGATTTTTCATTTTTTTTTAAAAAACAGCCAGTTTTCAACCCATCTATGGCCTGCACTATTTTAAAAGTGGCAGACAGAATCCCAACTGACCGCAATAATTTTTTGCAGATGCTAGTAGAAGGAGAAAAATATAAAACCGTCAGTATAATATTTTGCTCCAATCTAAAGTTATGTTTTAGGAGACAGAAGGATGCCAGCTTGGGATAGAATAATGGTGATGGTAATTTGGCTCCTCTCCTCTAGACCAGTGGTCTCTAAACTGTGGCCTGGAGTCCGGATGCGGCCCTTTGCTTGCTTTTATCCAGCCCTTGGGCACTATTTCATCTACTGATACCAATAATGGAACATTATCCCCCCACTGACACCATCAAAAGGGACAGTTTGTCCCAATTATACCAACAATCAGGCTTAATGACACCAATGATGAGGCACAATTCCTCCCAATGACACCAAAAATGAGGCATGCTTCCTCCCAATGATGCCAAAGATGGGGCACACTTCCTCTCAGTGACACCAACAATGCGGCCCAATGACGGGGCACAATTCCTCTCAATGACACTAAAGATGAGGCACAAATACTCCCAATGACCCCAACAATGGGTCACAATTCCTCCAAATTACACCAAAGATGGGGCATTGTCTATTCCCGCTGACATCAGGACCTTTTCTACTCCCAATACCCAAAGTCTGGCCCCCCTAAAGTCCAAAGAACAGTAAACTGGCCCTTTGTTTAGAAAGTTTGGAGACCCCTGCTCCTGACAATGCAGACATTTCTTTCCTTCAGTTTTTTATACATGAGCCTGAGTGTGTTAACACGAGCTGCTGCAGTGCATCATGGGTGAACGCTTAATAGGGCCCTTAGCACAGGGCAGCAGTAAGCACATATAATATTGTTGACTGCCAGATAACATCACAGCGACAAAACAAAATGAATTTTCTCACCGTGGAGGCGAACAATCTTCACTGGAGATAAGAAAAACCAATAAGACGGTGCCAGGCGGCTTTTTTTTTATTCCTGCACGTGTGTGCGTTTTTTTTGAAGTTGTTCGTGTGATGGATCAACCGTTATCACTACAACTGCTTTCCCAATCTCAAATACGTTACAGCTAAAGCCGAATTAATCCCGCTGTCACCAATGGTCCTTTTATTCCAGGAGCAGTCCTGGGTTCTAGAAGTATGTCCCTAACTGAACGACTCTGTAAAATCCCATCTATCCACTGTCTTCATTTCCTACCGTTTATTAATATTACTTTGACTTTTATGTTATCTCTGAAAGTTCAAATTATTACAATTCAATTTAGCAAACATGACATGCATTGCAGGGAAATCTGAGGGATGGCAGTATTGGAGCAATTGAAAAGGGTAGAACAGATTTCCTTTAAAGTGACACTAACCTCAATATAAAAATAATCAGGTATTTATTCTTAAAGTGGTTTTGAACCTCAGACATGACATATGAACAAAGCATATCCTTCTATAGTGTGTGCTTGTCTCAGACCAGACCCCTTAGAGTTAATTTATACCACAAACGCAGAGCAGCCGGAGTGATGCACTGCTTAGTGCTGCTGGCTGAGCTAGGGGGCAGTATGGTGCATGATTCAGCACATCACATGGTTCCCCCCCTTTTTTTTTGTTTTGTAGGAGCTTTATTTGAAAGTACAAAATGTGCAAAATGATTTGGCCCGGTGCGATGCAATGAAATGCAGATATCCTGAGGAAGTCACGAGGTACGGTGACGTAACGCGTAGATACGACGTGACGCAGCTTCCGGTCCGCGGTGAGGCACATCCGCTGCGGCTGCCATCTTGGAACACCCAGATGAATCCTAACCCATGCAGTACACCCATGCATTCAGTTTGTGAGATGTACTGAACGAATTATCGAATTGGGCACAAGTGAGCGGGCATTTTTTATTAATAAAGAGGCTGTTTTAACAGTATAATACTACAGTATGAAGGATCTTCTTTGTCACTCATCATGAACTATGGTGAGGGAGATATCTAGTTGGTGATTGTCCTGAGAGGTCCTGGGGATTGGTCCATCTGGAAAAGGGGTCCACGAAAGGAGTACTGAGGATATACATCATCATTGGAGAAGGATCTAGGAGAGATCTTGGAGGCTTAGTGGCCCTTTGGGTTGCAGATTGAAGGTGAGGGGGCATTTGTTATTAATAAAGAGGCTGTTTTAACAGTATAATACTACAGTATGAAGGATCTTCTTTGTCACTCATCATGAACTATGGTGAGTGAGATATCTAGTTGGTGATTGTCCTGAGAGGTCCTGGGGATTGGTCCATCTGGAAAAGGGGTTCACGAAAGGAGTACTGAGGATATACATCATCATTGGAGAAGGATCTAGGAGAGATCTTGGAGGCTTAGTGGCCATTTGGGTTGCAGATTGAAGGTGAGGGGGCATTTTGGCCACAGGAGGAGTGTGTTGACACTATCACAAGAAAGCATCACTTTTGTATCACTCTGCATGAGTTTATTTTGGCGTGGAGCACGAATTTGGAAGATTTATGAACTTTGTATTTAAGAAAAGCTATGTCTTATCATTTTTGTGCATTTAAAGTGGTCCCTTTAGTGTGTACACTGATCACATATGCAGTGTAATTGTATGGGGGGTTTGTTTATATGTACACTTATATTGTAGGATTATCAAGTTATTGATCCTATAATTCATACTGGGACAGTTGGTCACTCATTATACACGGTATTGGGGGCATATTGTGGCACTGTATTTAATTTCATTGTTAGCACGTTTGTTGAATATATAGTTGAATATTTTATTTGAATATTTATGAATTGATGTAGGGGTAATAACATAGTAGCGCTGCACTATATTATTTGTCTAATAAAATTCAGCATGTCTCCATTTTAGCGCAGCACTAAGCTATATGGCAGTGTGAATGAGACGCATAGAAAACAATTGTTTCCTGTGTGTTCCTGTGGTGACAGATGTTTTACCATGCAATAAAAGGTCTGTCACTGCGTATAGTGTGAATTGGCTCTAAGTATTTCTGTCTGCTTCCTACTCCTCTGCTATCAACATGAGTCACTTTTGATTTGGTTTTCCTGACACCAACAGAACAATAGGTGATGGGGAGGCAGCCCCAGCACACAGCCTGCAATTGCTAGCCTCAGCTCTGTTCCTGTGTGCTGCGTGAAGGGTGGCGTGTCCCTTCCTTCCCTCCTTACTTCCCTTCCCTCTCCTCACTGAGCTGTGCAGAGTATAACTTCAACTCCCTGCCCCCTGCTTTCTGAAATCTCTGACAAGCTGTAAAAAGTTCTGCACTTTGAATGGCTATAGAGAAGAGGTGGCTGCAGATAAACAGGTACAACTTATGTAGGAAGATTTGTTTCATCTCCCGGGGCCAGTCACTTCGCTGGATATATGTAATGGTTTACAACCACTTTAACTAAAAAAAAAAAAAGTACCATTGTATTCCAACATTAGTAAAAGGTGAGTTTATTTCGGTGAGCCTAGAGCAGCACAATGAGAATATAAGGCCACTGGGGCGACACTTCCTCCCTACATCTTACTAGTTTGGTTCCAGCGTTGAACATTGTAAGTAGGAGGAAGGTGAAGGAGGGCTGGAAAGCAGTGATTTCCGGAAATGTGCAGCATGGTATAGGGTTGGTGCTTAATGGACTGTATAATCCAGACAGGCTAATTCATAGTGACGGCGCCTCGTTAGGTCTTTACAGCACAACGTGCAACGTGCCAGCAAAAGCCTTTAATGGCCAACAATATTTTCTGTCGTTTTAGTTCACTGAAAATCCTTCTACTGCTTGATCTGTGCCGGCCTACAGTAATTAACTGAAAATAGACGTCATCTTCACACACATCAGTTTATAATGCGGATGGACAGCCAAGGTTGTATGGCACAGAATGCAGGGAAGGGAAATCTTATACCCCCTTCTCCATCTCTCTGTCTGCTTAAAGGGCACCATTAACCATCACAAGGGACAGTACTTCCATTTCATTAAATGTGTTCCTTGTGCAGTTAGATGCTCTGGTCATTTAAATCTTTAGTCCTCTGCCTCTGCCCTCCCCTCCATACCCCAGCAATCCTCCAGTGCTGCAAGTGTTAATACAAGCTGCTGGACCCATCATAGGAACTATTCAAGACAGAGGACCAGACTTGCCTACTATCACCTATCCCTCCTTTAAATTGTTCCGTTGCTCTTGTCCTCCCCCCTCCCATACCCCAGCAGCGGTAATCCTCCAATGCTGCAGGGGTTAATACAAGCTGCTGGACCCATCATAGGAACTATTCAAGACAGAGGACCAGACTTGCCTACTATCACCTATCCCTCCTTTAAATTGTTCCGTTGCTCTTGTCCTCCCCCCTCCCATACCCCAGCAGCGGTAATCCTCCAATGCTGCAGGGGTTAATACAAGCTGCTGGAACCATACTAGGAACTCTTCAAGACAGAAGCCCAGACCTACCTATTATCACCTATCCCTCCTTTAAATTGTTCCTTTGCTCTTGTCCTTGGGACGTCCCTCACCGCTGCCCACCCCCTGCCTATTTGTGGATGTCTCCTTTACCTTGCCATGCACGTTCCCAACCAGCACTGTGTGTGTCCACAGCCACTCCTCCCAGAAATGTGACTGATGGCAGTTGAAGTCTATCACTCTTCTGCTCTCAGTGTATC